TTTATAAATAAGAAGTAAGAATAAGGATGGGGACATGAAGGTTTTGTTTTCGTTGTTTGTAATCCAAATTAAAAAGTGCTTCAGATTCCATCATTGTTAAAGCCGTTGATAAATGCGATGAAAAGCTAAAATTATTTTGTTCAACAAATATTATATTTCAAAAGAAATTCACTGTATATATAAATCTTATTACAGTTCAATAAGACGAGAAAACTTTTTGCGTTACTCTTAATCTTCCACAAGAAAACTCTTTTTTATATAACATGTAGTGCCATGAGATTGCTGCGAATCTTCAGTATCATAGCGTTAAGAATAATCACTTTAACTGAAATTAAATCCAGAGTTGAGCACTGTAGTTGCAGATTTAATTTTAGTTCTACAATTCATGATGAGTAAATGAAATAACTGAATTTAGGACATGCGAAACAAGATTTTCAACCATCGACTTAAATAACATATTTTCTTTAAAACAGAAAATGAAATTTTTATTTAATGATTCACGGAAGTAACCTTCATTCATTTAACGATTCATGTAAGAAATCTGTAATATACTTCGAAGCATTCCGATTGCAGCTAAAAGTAATGCGTACTTACTGAACATAGATATTAACTCCATTAGTAAAAGCAAAGAAATTTAATAAATTTTGTTACTTGATGAAAGAAAAATATGTCATTAAAAATGGTCTGTATTAAAGTGCAAACGTGATGCTTTTGCAAAATTCCAGTTCTGTACGGATTCAAAGTTATAATGAAAAATATGGCTACTATATCAATCAAAAGCAATTGCGTTTCTCATATGAAAGTAATATGGAGCAAGCTGAATGAACCAGAGTTAAAAATAATGTTGCAATTAATGATTTCATAAACAAAGAAGATTAGGTAAAACATCATTCCTATGAAAATTTAATTAGTGAATTAATTGTAAAGGTAGAATATCGTAATATCCAACACTAGCGGTAGGAACATATTTGTGAAAAATATTTAACAAAAAAGAGTTTTCTTTTATTATTTGAAAATAAGACTTAAATTTGAAATATATAAGTGAAATGCTTTAAAAAATACTAAATTGTGTAACTGTATTTCTGATGTTGCGTTTAACAATATTTTATAATTATTTTTCTGAAATATGCATTAGATATTTAGTTAGTGCTTTTTTAAAACGTAATACATGGTTTAAATACTTTTACAAAAGTTATTTCTCTATACACCCTTTAACAAATTATTTATGATCTAAATTTAATGTTAAAAGTTTAGAATTAGTCAAATAGCGAACTAGTGAGACTGCAAAGTATGTAAAATGTTCTCCTGAATCAACATATTCACATATATCATGTAATATAGAATGAATCATATATCCGTTTGTCACCTGTAAAGATTTTTATCGAATTCTTTGTCTTTATACTTGAGCTTTGTCACTTCAGCCACAAGGTGAATTACTAAAATTACTGGCACGTGTATGAGATTCTATAGACAGAGATATTAATATTCGCAACTGAAACAAGTCTGAATAAGAATATTAGTTACGTACCAATATGCAAATTAATGACATATGAGATTTTCTCGAATTCGGTGTATGATTTAATTATACGTATGCATTTCGCAGTGTATTATTTAAAAATTTTGCTTTGTGCTTTGTAAAGAAAAAAACAATCATCAAGAACAAAATTTAAACGTGAGATTAACAGGCATGCATACTTAAAATAAATCAGAAGCAGACAAACTAAATTTCTAGGGCAGTCTGGGCATTCTAGAGCAGTATGGAGTGTTTCAATATGTTTATTCCCTTATTTGATGTACATCGTGATACCTGTACGGCAACTTAACAGTCTTTGCATTCTTTCCACAGATTTTCTTTTCAATCCCCATAAAACAGATTGTAAGAAAATATTTCAATCCATGAGCATTTAAATTGCTAAAATATGTGTCCGTCTGTATCTTAAAAGCTCAGCCTTAATATAAAGCAATTCAAATTAAAGATATGAAAGTGCTTTTCCTACTTTAGGAAAATAATGCTGATTTGTATAAGCATTGTAACGAGATACTTTAAGACAAAAATTATAACTGCTTTGCAACTGGATCAGCAGCTAAGCCTTAAAATGAATAAGATTTCTCCTTGCTGCTCATTTAACGTAATTTTAATTCGGCGTTCTCCGTTTTTGCAATTTCAGTTTTGCTTTTTGTATTAGCATTAAACTATTTTTACGCCTCCAACACCGGTAACCGAGTGTTTTGTGTGTACAAAAATGTGATCCACCTGATCAGATGGATTCAACTTTCTGCATTTCTTGCAAATACAAAAGTAATCATCTTATCAGGACTTTTATTTTACGATTTTGTATAAAGGATTTTAAATGTGAAAGGAATTCGTGTTTAATACGTAAGTACATTTCATTAAACTGATATCAGGTAAAACTTTGTGAATCAAATTTTAGATTTTCTTTAAAAACTAAATTTTTTCTTTATTCAATATGCATGTCACAACTATAATAAGCCATATTAAGGTAAAGTAAGTCGCGATCTGCTATTTCATTCCATTTCAGATGCTTTTGAACATGAATAGAAATTGCTTCAATGATTTCGCTTTCATAATCTACGGTAATTTTTTCATGGCCTATAAAACTGTTTTCATTAATGTTTGGACATTAACTCTCTCATTTAGAAACACATATGCCTTCTGCTGTTCTGGCATAAATTAGTCTTTTAACCGCATAATGCAAACATATCGTGAGTTTTTTAAATTGTTTGTTTAAACAAACTGTGGTCGTTTGTTCACTGTTCATAACTGTGTAGAAACAAAACTTAGGTGCTACTTTTCATAAATTATTCAATTTCTTTTTTTTAAAAAATAAATTAAAAATATAGCCAAAGTTTATAACGAGATAAGCTGTTTAAGTGTGCTAGTTGTTCGAGTTTATTTCTTCTTGAGTTGATCGTAATGTAGTACGTATTATGATATGATTGTTTTCCAAGAACACTATCAGATAATCTTATCACTACCTGTCATTCTTTGTCCAAAACAGGGTCTCGTTCTTTAACACCAATGTCAAATTCATAGTAAATGAGTTTTACAACTAACCTTTGTTTTTTTTAACAAAATAAATAAATAAATAAATGCTATTCTTATCGTATAATTTGCTAGATTTGTTTCTTTCATTTTTCTTGTCATTTCATATACTAGGAATTTAGCAAAATCTTTAGGGTAAAAACTCTGTAATGCTTGAAATGCAAGTACAAAATTAAACCATGACCATGTTTATATTAATACAGTTTATCAAATATGATACTTTTATCCTTAAACAGTGCTGCTGTTTGCGGTTTTTTTAATTAGTTATAAATTATCTTAATAATATTTCCCAACCTCACTTCCCATCCAAAAACACAAAATTATCTTAAACATTTTTCACCACTAATTTTTCTTATTCAATAACATGTGTCATGATACATTTCTATAAAAAAGTGTTTACGAAGTATAAAAAAAGACTCGCACTTAAGAGTATTTCGAAGTTATTTCCATATAAATTGGTCGTTCGTGCTTATTTGATCTATCAATACATAATAAATGTAAGTTTTATTGATGTAAAAAAAGGCATAATTTATTAAAAAATTATATCGTTACTTTTAGCTTTTAAACCAAGTTGCAATTATTTTAAGTAGCCATTTTGGTATACATTTCTTTGTAAGTAATATGGCAGCTAACATTATTTAAATTATTGCGAAACAAATCGAATGTGTAAATTCACTCATTTTTATTTGACGAGAAGGAGCTGCTGTATATTCATAATAAAACCTATGCTTTTTTACTTTATGAACACTTCAACAGTTTGGTATTTTCCAGTCAAGTAAAAGGTGTGAAAATTACGAAAGAAATTTTATCGCGCAAGAATTAAAATTTAGCAAATAAATTCCTAAATTTATGTCACAACACACAAATTATAATTTTCATCACACAAGAGTTTTAAAAGGAAATTTTAGGTTTTGTGCTCAGTTCCAACTGCTCAACAGTAAAAAATGTTTTACTTACATAACAAGATGTTCCTAAAGAATGAACACAAGATGTTCATTTCCATCTTATTTATGTGTCATGCCAATTCAATAATCATTGACAATTTGTGAAAACAGAACATTATCTAAAGATTCCTACTCATTAGTCAAAAATAAAAGCAGTTTAGATCTCAGAGAAGCTTGATACACACAAGGAAAGAAGACCGTAAAATGTTTATGGACTATTAAACTTAGTTTATGTCCTGCATCACTATTTAAACAATTGTCAATCAAGCTATATGACAGTAAAAAATACCGTTGACGGAAATAACTGTTTCATGTGGTCTAATTTTTGACAACATTCTTTCTGCAAAGATCAATGCTTGAAAGTCAAGTAGTAGTTAACTAGCATCTTTATCTGATTATTCCCTTCCTTAAAAATAACTTAAAAAAAACTGGAATTGCTCTTGGAAAGTTTTGTCGTGCTGTACAAAGGCGGCGACACCGTTCAGACCCTTAACCGGAAGTTGACATTCCCTCACCATACCTTGTTAACCATTCAAGATGGCCGCTGGTATGTGACCGCCCACTTTAATATCCACCTCATTACCTATCTATTCAGAAGCCTGTCAATCAAAACTTAAGTTTAGCAAAAACTCAACTTTGCCAGATATATCGAAACCCAAAACTGCTGAAGTCTTATTAAGAAACTAAAACAATCCTTCAAGAATGCCTCAAATTTAAATTATTTTTCATAATGCTCGTAAAAAAATATTTTCGCTTTATTTCATTTGTAATTTGCGATCGGCCAAACCTCCTTTCCTACTTGCACATCGAGTTCTGCCATTGGTCGGGACCAACAACATGGCGGACACCACCTATCAACCAAAGCAAGACTGGACCAATCAGAGGGCGAATAAAGGCATTTTATAGCAGTAATCAACAATTTTATGTCTTGATAACATAGGCGAAAGTAAGTTTTTATTTGATGAGATGTTGCACTAAGTCTTGGTTTATTTTCTTTAAAGCTAGAATAGGACAAGCCTTCCTGATATTCTACCTCAGAGGCTGCTGCAAAGGCAAAGAAAGAGAGCCGCATCCTTAAGATCAGCCATCCTCATCGGCATCTAAAGTGGTCAAAACAAACTGTAACTCTACCTCAATTTGCAAATGGGAGGATTAGCTGCCTTTCAGGCTCCTTTCAATTATTTCATCTAATCCAGGTGAGATTTTGGGATTTTTCATCATCTTTTCTATGATCCAAACTTCCGCATGCTAAGCCTAAATTCTTTTGCATTCGTTTAGAAATGCAAATATTAAACTTGAATGGAATTAAGAAGATTTCTTTCATATATTACAACCTATAGTTAATTTCTGAATTCATAATTATTTTTCGAAAAAGTAAAATGTGAGCTTATTTTGTTTTGAAATTGTTAGTGGGCAATACTGATTAGTAGAAACGTAACAGAAAGAATTCGACTTTATTTATTCGAATTCCAATTGTTTTCATATTTTTGTCTTATTTTATACATAAAAAATGAGGGGGAAAATTATTGTTATATATAAAAAAGTATTATTGTATAAAACGGTAAAATGCTTCTCATTGTCTATAGGTGATATAGTCAAAACAAAGTTGTATTCAATATTTCATAGAGCTATTTCTTTGTTGTATGTTGCAATTAATGTCTGGTTATCTTAAAGTTGTTAACATCAGAGGTTAATCTTCATAATTTATCTATGAGGAATTAATATGTTATGTATTTAAGGAAATATTAGATAAAAAAACACTAATTGTACATAATATATATATCTGTTTGCATAAGCATATGCGATATTAAACTGTATGTTATTAGAAAGCAACAAATATTAAGTGCTACACACATTAAATGGATACATTTTTGAAAAAAAAAATAAAACTTATTCATGCTTTAAAGGAACTGGTTACATGTTTCTATATATTTTACAAAATAATGTATGTTAATAAATGTCATATTATAAGAGTAGCATATGTGAAACTACCTCTTAGAAAAACGCAGAGATTGCTAAAGATTTACGGACATTTCCAAATAATAATCACATACCGATTATTTCAAGTTAATAATTGTTTTTCATCATTTCGTTCCAATTTTAATATAATTGTAAGTTTAAATATTAGTCTTTAAATTTAAACAAAACTCGTAGTAATTCCCTCAGTACAACTGAAATATTTTCCATTTATATAATAGTAGGTTTATGTAAAAGGGCTTCATTTTACTTAAATTATTATGTCTTATATTATATACTTCAAAAAAATACTTAAATTGAGATAAAGTTCTTGTTGTGTAAAAGAAATAGCGAGATTTTGTCTCATGTGTATGTATTCCTGTCGTATTCGATGGAATTTCGTGTTAAAATGGACGTTTAGCTATCAGTAAACACATCTGTTTTCGTCGTTTTTACGTGTATTTGTAAGTAGAATTTGAAACTGCGTAAAAAATTTTGAGAAGATAAGGATTTTCAGTATCAAAAGATATTTAGTAATACTTGGTGGTACGTATTACACAACTTTCTGAATGAACTCTCTGTATAAAATATATTATATATTATATATGGTACTAAGTTCAACCATGAAAAATATTTATCTCTTAGCATTGCTTGAACAGAATTGTATTATTGTTATTATTATTTATGTACACCTATAGTATCAGTACACAAAAGGTGCTGTTGTTTAGTTTACATAGCGTTTTAAAGAAGACAAAGAATTTCTGCTGAAAACATATAAAAATGAAGTCTTATGTCCTTATTTACCACATTGCGCTATAGTTTAGTTCTGAAATAAACTAACAGAAAATACTATTTAATTGCTGTAACATAAATTAATCATTATATTATTTTATCTCTCCCTATGTAAAACGATATATATATATACTTATCTTTCCCTTTGTAAAATGATATTTATCATGAAGCTGAGAAACTGCAATTCATCATAAGAAATCTAAAAGTGTTCATTTATCCAGTGTTATTCAATAACACATTATGTTCATATAATATGAATATATAAAATTGTGTAATTTCTATTTACTTAAAAATGAAATGCCATATTTTCTAAGAACGATATTCATTTGTATAAATTGTTTACAAAGATGTGTCTTTAAAAAATAAATTGTTTACAAATTAACTTTTAAAAAGTCCACTAGTTGTAGAAAATACATTTAAAAAATTTTTGGAGAATTAGGAAATTTTAAATACTCTGTTTCATTTGCATCGCTCAATATATGTTAAAATGACTGGACAGAAGGAATCTGTTAAACGAATGCAATATAAGTGACAGATTGTCAGAATCACTTAGTTCTTTAAAATTTTGTAGTCGAAGTTTAGCGTCAGGTGCTTTCAATTTGATTTTATACTAAACTAATCAAAAGTTTTGCATTTTCCAAGCCAAAACAACATCCGTGTAACTTGAGTTTGATTTTTCTTCTCCTAGGTATGTCAAGAAATTTTTTGGCTGTTTCTAATAATATCTTACTGAAGCATTTTATATATTCTCATTAAATATGGTAAAAGGGGAGTAACTATTGCTGTCAAAACTTCACTACAAGCCACAAGCACAATACTAGAAAATTAAAACACAATATTTCTCACAGCTATCTAGTTATCGGTTCCTTCACGAGAACTTTATTATAAATTCAGCATTATTAAAAACAGAGTATTGGAGGTCTTTGCGTTAGTGGAAGTTGAATACTGTGTAAGGTTACTATTATTTTGTGTAACCAGTTATTTATAATTTCGGCCTTTACTTTCACTTTTCTTGTTCCTACTGGAATGCAAATTAGCTTGAGAGTACTTAAGCTGAGACTTTCGGATGTGTTTCTGTCTCTCGAGACGACATTACTATAATTTCCTAGCTCTGATTAGATTGTATTTCTTTGGTTTTACGTTATCGATGTCGACATTTAAATATTTACGCCGGTGAAAAGTTTGAGATAACTACGCGTTAAATCGATTTTTGTAGTCTTTGACTAGTTTTAAGTTGAATTTGACTGTTACTTTAAGCTACACAGCCACAAGTGGTGGTTGAATTACACAAGCACAAGTTTTGCGTTTATGTTAAAGTTTTAATTTGATAAAAATGTTGTTTTAAACCTTTTCAAGAGTTCTTTTCAGAAGAAGCGATAATTCGCTCCAAGTCTATTATTATTCTGATGGTAGTTTATTCTATCAAAGCAGGTCAAACTCTGTAACTATTCTCAGTACGAGTGTCGTTGATAATTACAGGTTGTCCTGTCATTGATAGTTACAATTTGTCAATTAACAGTTTCGCCAATGGACAAAAATGTTTTTGTATTTCCTCTGTTTATTAATGGAAAATCAACATTATATATTTTGTAATAGTTTTAATTGCCTTGATTGAAATCATTTACCCAAAGACACGGCAAAAAATAATAATAAATAAATCAATAAAATTGTCTATCAGTGTGCATCAAATTCGAAGTATCAGACAGCTCTGTAACTACAATACATGGTACACTTCTCAAATAAACATTCAAAGTGTACAATCAAGTGCTAAATATTGTTTTAAAACTAAAGATACTATTCGTTACATTAGTAATGTTGCATTTTGCTTTTCTTTTCTCAAATTGGATTCACAAGCCATTAGTTTCTATTTGCGAATGTTATGTTCTTGAAGAAGATCTGGATAACTCACCTCTTCATCTGTGATGTTTACTACTGCTTATTTCCATTTGACATTATTGAAATTTTAAAGCAGAAATCCTTTTAAGCAAATTGTACAATCTGGTAGAAAAATTAAATATACAATTTTCCATTCCTCAATGTAATAAGCATTTGCTAAAAGGTATATGAGAATGTACGGACATGTTAAAGTAACTTGTGTTGGAAGTGCAAAATTTTCGCGGTTCAATAAACAGATAGTGTCTATTAATTTAGCTGTTGATAGATCAAACCATCATAGGTTATCGTCTAAGCGTGTATCATACACAATAACTGTGCAGTTATGATGGTTATGTCTTACAAATTATATAAATTCATGTTTATGTGCAGGATTATACATAAAGATAAGACAGCTAAAGTTTTCCAATTTTAGTTTTCAGTCAGCTGAAATGATATGTTCGTTAACGATAAGGGAACGATATCGTGAAATAGAGACATTTTATAAATTCTGATGAAAAGACGCAGAAATGTATCGTGCGTGACAAATACAAATTGCAGATGACCCCAAGATGGTATCATGTTAAACAAAATAAAATGCTTGCGTGAAGTTTGAGTCCGAGATAAAGTATCATGTTAACGGTTTACTAGAGTAAAATACATAAAATGCTTATATCTTGAATGCTTTATCAAAGTAAAAAAATACTTTTTACTTATTTGGAATATCTGAATTCAAATGTTTTAGAACTGTTTTATAAATATGTGTATGTATACTGCAAAAAAAATGCTTCATGCATTCTAGATGAAATATTCTAATTTTTTTCCCTTCTATAAATTTATTATATATATCTGGAGAGAGAGAGAGGGTATTTACATATCTTATGTATAAACCAAATGTAAATATAAAACTTCTTCCATTGTAGGTTAAAGTATTGTAATTTTTTCTTTTGTAAATTTTCGTATTTGAGAATTATTTGTGAAGTGGTATGCATATTCATTCAGTTTCATGAATTCCTGAAGTCATGACTACGCAAGTACAAAACATTCAAATTAGGTATGTTAACTAAATGTATATTTTTCATTCAAAAATTTTATTTAATCAGTTCTGTCTATTAAAACAGAGGAAGAATTTGGAAAACCAATTCCAGTTTTTATCTCACAAAATGAAAGCTTAATTATTCAGATTGATATTATCTGTCCAAACAAAATGACATTTATGAAATTGACTCTACCCACCCAAACATGATAGAGCTATTTTGATCCTTACAAGAACATTTGTACATTTGGTTCAAATACGATTTGGTTCCATTCGATGTTCAGGAATTAACCAATAAAAAAACTACTCTAAACACCTGGAAACCTGGAAAATCAAACTGAATATGAAAAAGACTTTTCCATAGAATTATTATATATTCGTTCTGCGTACTAATATTCTTGCCAGCCATTTTAAAAATATATTTTACTGAAGTAAATCTCAATACTGAAATACTACTGCACTATTTCATAGGAACTTTAACCTATGTCTATCAATGAAATAAAAAAAAAATTAAGTCATAGAAGTAAGGATAAATACTTA